CCTTGGACCTGGGCCCCAGCCCTGGTTCCTTGCTGTCAGTACCCCATGATTCCAGCCCCAGCTGCCTGTCCTGCTCCCAGATGCCACTCCCTGCCCTCCAACCCATGGTCCTATTCCATCCACCCAGGCAAGCACACTTTGCCTGTTGGGGTTTTGTGCTAGTCTCTATGGAGACTGCCTGCTCTATCTGGTGCCTCTTTTTGGTGGGTGTGGGGCAGACTGCAGGTGCAGCAAGGCAGAATGAGCCACAGCTGCAGGGGCTGCCAGAAAGCCCAGTCCAGCTGCCATGCTGCCTCAGCCCTGCCACATGCCCCACTTCCCAGGCTGCGTCCCACACCTGGGTTGCAAATAGGTTGTATTTTGCCCACCTCATTCTCTAAGAGCTAATAAGTTCTTCTGTCAGCAAACAAGATTGTATAGTCCAGAGCATCCCTAAAGATTGCTCCACTGTTCTCTTTCCAGCTGCCCCATCTGAAACTTCAAAACTCTTCCCTGGATTCTCTTCATACTCCTCCCTGGCCAGACACTCTACTTCTTCACATTCCTCTAGTTATTATTATCCTTACTTTCTTTGGCTTTCCTGAAACTTCTTGGATGTCACCAGCAATCCCCACCATTGCTGTGTCAACAAAGCTATTTGGTTCTCTGTAGATGAATGTGTCTTTTGTCAGGTTACTAGCAAACTTGGCTTCTCTGTCTTATTAACCCAATCTTTCCTGTTTACTAGCTTCAGGTAAACTGAGGCATGCAATGTTATAACAACATGAACACATTTCAAACAGAAGGATTACAATAACACTCCTAATCCATTACACTTTATTTCTATTATGGCTAAATCTGCAAAAAAAATATTGGAGCATTGGTAGCGTTTAATTTTAAAGGGTACAGGAACGCTTTGCTGAAAGGATTTCAAATTAAGGCCTTGATCTTGGGAGTCTGTTGTTTTGATTCTTAGTTTTTGTTTCTTTTGCCAAGTCATTCTAGTGAGCCGGAAGATAATTTAGAAGTTTCAGTATTTCTGCTCCAAAAAGCATCTGTGGAATAGGAATCTCAATTCTGTTCTTTTTTCAAGTTTTTGGTAATTGAGGTTCTTTTAAAAAAAATTGTTATTTAGAAATGTCACCTTCTGACTCGGATGCTTCTCTGTGGGTGTGTATAGACATGTGCCGGACTGCGCAGTTGTTAATGTGCAGTCATTTAGTACTTGCTTTAGCAAGTGATAGTGAAGACAGAGTTCCTAATTACCTGACAAGTTACTGCACAGTCCTGGAGGCGCACACGTTGTTTCTACCCGTACTGCACAGTAGTATTGATGCCAGTTTGAGCCTGCTGATGGTATCTCACCGTAGCAATGAGCTACGTTGCCATAGGTCATCTCTAAGCCCACCTACTTAACATCTTAATTAGATAACAAGGTATAGCAGGTAAGCAAGGCGGGCAGTTTGCCTAGAGAGAGGGGCGTGTTGGTGCTAACACCAGGCTTGAGAGTTGCCTTTGTCACTAAGGGTTACAAGAATCTGGAATGGGCTTCCACCGGAGGTGGTGCTCTCCCCTACCTCAGAGGTCTTTAAGAGAATGGACAAACACCTAGCTGGGGTCGTCTGATCCCAGTTCTCTTTCCTGCCCAGGGAGTCGGACCTAATGATCTTCTAAGGTCCCTTCCTTCTGACCCTAGAAATCTATGTAGACGTGCCCTGTGTCTATTCAGTTATGGCATTCATGTGAATGATGTGAGTTATTTTTCCTTTTTTTTTCTATTAGCACTACAAAACAAACACACACAAGGGGAAAAAACTTGAATAATATTCCACAAAGTGTTTCAGCTTTTTCATGTTTACTTAAAAAAAAATAAAATAAAAATTGTAAAGAGTAGCTTTAGACACACATAACACAAGGCCTTATTTAGACTTCTTTGTTATTATTTGTAATGCATAAGGAGGAAAGAATATGTGATCCTATTATTTGTAATGAATTTGCTGGATTCAGACATTTGGTGTGCGTTTTTTGGTTTACTTGCAAATGTATGGAAAACTATCCTTGGTTTTAGAAGTTGTCACACTTATTCCAAAATACCTCTTTATAGAGAAGTTTGTTTTTACTTACTGGCATAAAAAACAAATTATAAGTTTAGTTTCTCAATATGTCTGTCTCAGACGCATCCCCTCCTCCCCTCTTGTTGTTGAGTGATGACCAAATAACTTCTTAATCCAAGCAGGATATCCAAAGAAAGAAAATATTTATTTACCTATTTATTCTTTAAGACATGGAATATATTTTTTTATTTGATAAAGGATATAAGAAAAAAGAGGTACAAAATAAATTGCTCTCAGTCTGCACAAAGCGAATTACTAAATCTAGAAATTGTAGTATATAGTATTCTCTGTAGGTCAGTCCTTCTGTTTTCCCTAGTTTGCTTAAGCAGTTGACATCTCATTAATTTTTTGAAACAATTAACATTTTTTACTTCATCATTTCAGTTCTGAGTACTGTACACTTTATTAGAAGGCAGAAAAAAATCTTGAATTCAAATCATTTAAGCAAATATTTATGTAATTGTATTTTACTTAAAGTTTTAACAATAACAAATGACTAAGAGATTAAATCTATTTGTAACAATAATTTAATATCTCATTCGTTATGTAAGTGTACAAAAAATAGCAATGGCATTTTGAAAGTTTTAACAGAGTAGCACTATGCAAATGGTCACTTTAATAAAAGTTTAGCCAAACTTAAATTTAGAAATAAGGTGTGCTTGTCTTAAATTAGCAGAAATGTTCTCTAGCAATATCAGAAAGTATAATATAAATTTTATTTTAAATGATGTATTCTGTAATTTTCAAACCACGATTGTACTTCAAAAGGATTTGAAGATCCCTTCTTATGTGTGAACAACACCTAATTTCCAGCATTTTGATTTAAGGGGAGAAACTTATTTCCAAATAATTTTTTAAGGGAAAAACACAGTGAAGTCTCATTCATCATTGATTTAGAATAAGACTTTTCAAATGATAGTTGATGATATACATTTACGTTGCTGAAGCTGGGAGTGATGCTTGTTTAGAGCATGCGCAGTGGGGCTGTGATGGAAGCGAAATGGATTTTTATTGCAGAAATGAAGTCTGAATGTGCTTGGATGCTGTGATGTGTGAACGGCAAGACATACTAATTAAAATTTATCTGGATACTAGAATAATTTAACAGGCAGATTCTTAGATGTTTAGTGTTGTCATGGAAAAAGGCACACTTGCGCTACTAGAATTCTGAAGATATGTGGGAGACGTACGAAGAACAGAGTGAGCACAATACAATTCATTCATTTTTGCCTAGTGCATAGATACTGTATGAAATGGTTGTGGATGCTCTACATATGCCGTGCTAAACATAATTATTAAACATCATGTTCCATCTCTTTTCTTGAAACCATATTAGTTATCAGTGTTGTCGTGGTTATAATTACTGTGCTGTGAAGTGTTTGTATGAATGATGCTTTATAAAACTTAGTTGCAATGGTAACACTGTGCAGAGCTTAGTCTTGTCATTTGGAAATCTTTCCAGTTCATGAAAAAAGTTGATGATAAAAGACAACAATAAGTTCCTATATCACAACAAGAGGCGTAAAGGAATCTGACTGGATGCTACCTCCCACAACTCCTAGAGTTTCCGCTGAATGAAAATCTCTACAATCTCCCTTCCCCAAACTTCTGAAAACTGCTACCGTGGCTTTATTGGTAGCCTTCAAAATGAGGAAGAACTGACAGCTTTCATGTTAACGTAGAACATCATGTTTTAGCTTATACCCATACACATTTATTTTAAACAAATTGTGAACATTTTAATGATATCTCCATTATAAAATATTTTTTCTTCATAGTGTGAGTCCATTCCATCATATTTGGTTTTTCACTATAGCCTAATAATTCTTCAGTTTTAATATTTTTAATGAAACTTAACATACATAAAAACTAAATGCTTCCATTTATAAATCCATTATCTATAGTTATCAAAATGAGTTTGTCACACAGCTTTACACTTTACTTCCAGCATAGATAAAACCTGCTTAAGTAGATTTTTTTTTAATTACCATATTTACTCAAATTCAAGAAGAGGCACCCCTCACCACCACTTAACAGAGTGGGAAAAGCCCTTTGTCTTGAATTTAGTTATCATGCAGTAGAGGGAGCAGCCAGCTGCTGTTGCTTTGGCAAGGGGGTAGAGGCTGTGGGTAGGAAATCAAGGGGGATTGGACCCAGGGGTACAAGGGAAGTGACAGGCATGGGAGGGGGCATGTTATAGGGCAAAAAAGGCAGGTGTCAAGCTGCTTCCCCTCCTTCTGCCCCTCCCCACTGCTTGACCTCTACTGCTTGCTTTCCAACTGCTTCCCTCACTGCCTGCCCCCTTCCTGTCCCCCATGCCACTGTTTTCTTCACTGCAGTGGGTGGTAAGGGATATTAATTTAAGATAACTCTCCAATAATTAGATTCTGCACGTGGAAAATTTTAACAAATTCATCTTGAATTCAGGGTTTTCTTTTGGATTTGGATAAACATGGTACTTGTGGGGGGGAATTATCGATAATTAGATGCATTTGTGGCTATATAAAAACTTAGTGGTGAAATATTGTATGACTTTAGTAATTACTAATATGATTACAACTTGCTGCATATTACTGCTTCTTGACTTCTGATATTTGTGTTGACTACACAAATTTATTTTACAAAAAGCATTATTTTTCAAATGAACACCCTTGTTCTTTACATTACCTCTTAAATCTGTTGTTCATGTTTTCAGCATTATCCCTCATTCTGGCTATCAGGCTTCAAACATCCTGTAGTGCTTTTTTGTGCTTATCTTTGCAAGTACTTATACAATAGGCAAGCATGCACACATATACGCACATGCTCATAATTTGAAGAGGGAAAAATAGAGCGTGTAGAGTCTTTAATTTTCTATGATAAATAAATTGTATCTCATAAAATAACCCTAACGTTTTCTCTTTGCAGAGTGCTCATTTAGCCATGATAGATACCTTGATGATGGCATATACCGTGGAGATGATCAGTATTGAAAAAGTGATTGCATGTGCTCAGCAGTATTCATCTTTCTTCCAAGCCACAGACCTACCCTATGACATTGAGGATGCTGTTATGTACTGGATAAATAAGGTAGGAACGTATCTAAAGTAAGGCTAAACTGCATAGAGAATCAATGTGTTCTGGCTGGAAATAAATGAAAAAAATACATATTTCTGGAAGGTAGTCCTATATTCCAGGCTTCTTTTAATACATAATGTTCATTTGATACAAAGTAAAAGTCTTTACTTCCAGCAAGAATGAAAAAAAAAGAGCTGGGAAGAAACTTGAAATAAAAGTGTTTGTACTGCTACATGAAGAAACCAAAATTAGGTGGGGGAGAAATGAAACTTGGTCACTTGCTGACACGTTTTGTTTTTGAAGTTGTTTATAAATCATTTAGCGGAGCCAATGAAGATCTCTGGCTTTATCTAGTATATTTAACTATGATTGGAAATAATAATCTTTTTTGTACTTAGCCATATCTTGGGGTGATCTACTTGATCGCTTATTGCATAATGGAGAAATCTTATTTCATCATTCTGTAAGATGGGTAACACAATGTTCTGTCAAGTCAACAGCTCTAGGTGGTCCTGAATTATAGGTTGAAACACTTAATAGAGCATTTGCTGATTGTGTCTCAGTGCTGTAAGGTATAAAACATAAATTGTTTCATGCTTTCAGTGAGCTATGTGCTGGTGATGATAACTGGCAGCTGCCTGGAAAAATCTGATTTTGTTGAAGCATATCACAGATTTTTCCTATACTTGTTTAAATGAAAATATTAACCCACCATTCTCTAACTCTCCCCACAAACTTTTGCTAATTCTGGACATACTACTTCATTGCTGTCCAACTTTTGGGCAGCTGGGGTTACATGCAGCACTGGCCGCAGATCTAGGGGTCCCATGCTACTTGCACCAGCCCATCTCCCTTTCGCTCAGCTGTGTGCACTGCAGAGTCAGTCCTGTGCCCCCTTCTCCTCCCTCCCTCCCATCTCCTCATGTAGTGCCCACAGCACTCAGCAGCCTCTGGCCTCTCCTAGCTACATGTTCCACCTGCAGTGTGCTCAGCCTGGCTCCTTTTGCTGAACGCATGTAGTGCAAGTGTCCAGCCCCATTCTCTGTTGTGTGCACAGCACAGGCACTCCAGCTTCTTCCCATCATGTCACCGTCCCTGTAGGAGCCAGGGCAGGAAGTGGAACCCAGAGGAGGGAGGGGGAGTCCAGTAGATTTTCAGGGTCAGAAGAGACCTCAGTAGATCATCGAGTCGGACCCCCTGCCCTGGGTAGGAAAGAGTGCTGGGGTCAGATGACAATCCTGGTTACTGTGGCAGGAGCAACTAGTGGGGAAAAGTGGCTGGGCAGGAGCCCATAGGCCACATACTAATCCTTCAGGGCCTGTAGCTGGCCTTTGGGCTGCTAGAGGGACAGGTATGTATTTATTCTCACTTCCTCTGGGAGAGCAACTATCAATGTAGAGAGTATGGGACAGGTATGGAAGTAGGTAAAGTTGTATACTGACTTTTGAGCCTTACAGCCAATGGATTCACCCTGGTTTTACTATGAACCTTAATTTGGTTTTTAAAAGTTCTGATTATTTTAATTGTCATATTTCAGTTTTAAATCCAGAGCATGGCTCTTCTTCTTTAAAACAGAATAGGCCATTTAAAAATGATCCTCCTTTTTTAGGTGAATCAACATTTGAAAGACATAATGGAACAGGAACAAAAACTAAAAGAGCATCATGGTGTAGAAACTCCCGTGGGTCAAAAGGTAGGTGTAAGAATTTAAATATTTTTAACTGAGAGAAAAATTGCATATACATATAAACAGGACTCATTTTGTACACATGTAAAAGCAGTTTGCAAATTCTCTGTTAAATGTAGACGACACTACAGTTACACTGACCCATGCTAATGTGTGTTGGTGTTTAGTCAGTAGGCCAAGTATTTAATCAGATCATCATGCTTTGTAACAAGTCAAAAATAGGAACAAATGAACAAAGTTGTGGTTATCTTATGTTTGCCTACCTAAGTATAGGGTGTGCAGCATATTAAATAAGAAAGCTTTTAAAGTGTCAAAGTTTCATTACTTCCATGACGGCATCTTTTTAAGTACTACAGTAAGTAGTTGTTCTTTGTTTTTGCAGTTGTTCCCTTGGGAAAGAATAATTTGACAGGATAGAAAGATCTTTGTGGCCAAGTCTGATATGGACATGACAATTCCTAAGAATAGTCTTTACAAATGCCATTTAAAACAAACCCAAACTGTAGCCAGATCTAGTTTTTAACAAGAGAAGTATAGTTTTAATGCTATCTGATCGTGGCTTTTGAGATGATCCTCTTGTTACTTGGGCTGTTCTGAGAGATTTTAATAGTAAAATGAGGAATAATAAGAAGCATCACTCTGCTTACCATCCATGGTAATAACTGGTTACTAGATTAGCCATGAATATAGAAAAGTAACTAATCTACACCTTTACCTGTCAAGAGTTCTTGCTCCCCCCTCCCAACCCTCACCAATGTCACTGGAGCTGATTCAGTTAAATAGTATATTAGTCAAATTCATGATACAATGGAAACAGTATTTGGGATTCCAGAACAGGAACTGCTTTGGCATGCTTATTTCTGAATGACACAATTTGCTGGGCAGAGACATGTTTTTTTTATTGAAGAGGGAAGGTGTTTAGTCTGAACACACTCAAGTATTGCCTTATCCTTAGAGTTGCGTGATTACCAGACTGCTGCAACTCCACTTCCCTTCCCACTCTGTTTTCGTGTGAGGGTTAAATTTCCCTTCCTGACCAGCTTTGGGAGAATGATAAGGATGCCTGGCTGGTTACATTATTTGTTTGGAACGTGGGACTTCATTTATTAAAAATAAGTAAATACATTTACAGGAAAATTTGTGGGTATGGACGCACACATTTGAAGCCCTTTCAAAAGGGGAATATTTGAAAAGGGCAACAGTTATGTTCTAATGGTTCCTGGTTTGCCCACAGGCTAGCAATACAAATGTGGCAAAACTGTTCCAATTTTAATACTACTTCATCCAGGACTGTTGCGGGAGCAGTTTTGCTACATTTGTATTGTTTCCAGCTTGTCCACAGGTAACAAACTGCAGGTAACAGCTGCTCCAGTTTTGAAATATTTCCCTTTTAGAAGGGCTCCAAATATGCATATGTCCATACCTGGTCAGCAGAGGTGGGGGCAACGTTTTTTGGCAGGCTTACCACAAATTAGCTCCATACCCTCCTCAAGTGCCCCACTGATCCTGTTACCTTACTCAGTCGCTGCTTAAGTTTCTGTTTCCTGCTCTGAGCTCCTTGACCAAGCTGCTGCTCTGCTTCTGTTCATTGCCTTATCTGCCACTGCTGCCTGTTCCCTGCCCAATCTACTGTGTGCTACTTGTGGCACCTGTGCCTTAGGTTGGCCACCCCTGCCATATGACATATGGGAGAAGTGCTCTTATGTTTTAAAGCAAAATACTCCATGTAGAAAACCATTAGACTTCCCCAGGCTTGAAAAGAGTAATTTTGTCCAAGTCAGAATATCAGTGTAACTGTTTCTTATTTAAATATTAATAAAATGCAGTTCATTTAGACCAGTGGTGCTCAAACTTCTCTGAGCAGGCTGGATGGGTAGTGCTTGGTTCAGCCACAAACCAGATAGTGATTCCAGTCCAGTGCCCAGGACCAGAATGGTGGGCACCATTATGGTCATGTGGAAGAAGGCGGGGGAGCAGCCCCATAGCAGGGCAGCATGCCCCAGGAGGGGTGTGGCAGGGGGGAGGAATGTGACCCATCCAGGGGGACATGATTCAGCCCTGCAGAGGGGGGAGGGCTTGACCCAGACCTGTGCATGGGCGAAAGAGGGCATGGCCTGGCCCCAACCAGCCCCCTGAGGTAAAAAGGACTGTGGCTCAGGCTCATGGGAAGGGAGGGGGCATAGCCTGGCCCCAGCTTGGTCCTGCTGAGGTGCAGGGCACCGCCTGGCTCTGACATGGTACTCAGGGCTTGGGAATCTGGTGGGAGAAAGGTGGCTGTATTAATGGCTGCTACTCTGCCACCACCAAATTCTTCCTCCCCTCCCCCCCAGGTGGGGAACCCTGTAGACCAGATGCCATAGCTCTGCGGGCTGCAGATTGAGCACCCCCAGTTTAGCAGGATCAACTAAGCTTAAGAGACATCCTGCAAGTTTAGGATATGGTTACAGCAACCAAACAAAAAATAAATAAGATGCATGTATTCCTGCCTAACCATTTTAATTAAACCATTAAAATTAATTTGATTGGTAATGGAATATATTTGCATAAGAAAACCCCACAAAGGCAGTGGCTGAAAACAGAAAAGAGGTCAGGCATCTTCTATTTTAATATCATTAGGGAAAATTACTTAACATTTTTTACCAGTGAAATGCCTAAGGTAACTAAAGTATTTTCAAACAGCAGCAGATCCATTCTGGAGGGAATATGGACTGAAAGGAATGTTTATTTATGGTAGATATGTCCTTCCTGGAAGTTTCTAGTCCAGACTTAGAGGACGACTGGGGCTGCTTCTTAAGCATAACATATTTTAGCATGATATTCCCCTTCTGAAATGGCTCCAAATGTGCATGTATCAGTGGAAGCCAGCTCTTTTGGCAGGCTTGCTACAGATAAGCCCCCTACCCTCCCTTTTCCCTTACCCACTCCGATCCCCTTTCCTTACCCTTTCTGCTTCCTGCCCTGTGCTCCCTTAGGGCAGGTATTAGGCATCCTTAGAAGGGAGACCTCTTCCAGTAGTAGTAAATAGTATTAGAAAGCTGCTGACACATTCTAGTAGCAGCAAACTTGATCTTCCTTTAGTGATGGAGGGGAAAAAATGGAACCTTAGTTTCTTTGCACAGCAATCTAGAGCAGAAGTTCACAAACTATTCCTTACTGCATACCCCATTCCAGATTTACCAGCTACCTGCATACCCCTATCAGCATAGGGTTTATATTTTAACCCCTTAAATGCCAATTATTATAATGAGAATTAAATCTACTATTGCACAATTTATCCTGCATACCTCCCCCCAAGATACCTTGCATACCCCCAGGGATATGTGTACGACAGTTTGGGAACCCCTGATTTAGAGCATAAGATGTCTTTGCTAGAGAAGCTCATTCCTAAAACTAGGTAGATCACACGAGGAAAATATGTAGACATACTGCTGCCTTCTATTATAGCTGTAGAAAGAAAACTAAATAGAAAGGACTGCATAGATTTAGTTTTAGTTTGTTTTGTTTTCTTTACTCCTCAGGATGGGGACTAAGATCCAAAATTCTTGTGGTCTCTGAGAGCAGAATGTCTTAAATAGTTATCTTCTCTAATATACTGCGGATACATTAACTGTTTAAATACTGCTGTAGTTTTGCAGATTTGATCACATGAATGTATCTAATGAAAACAGTTGTATATAAAAACATATTTGGGTTTTTAATATTTGTGTTATAGTAGCGCCTACAGACCTATTGTGATAGGCATTATATAAATCGGGAGCAGGCAAAATATGGCCTGTGGGCCAGATCTGGCCTGCCAGGTACTTTTTATCCAGCCCACAACACCCACCCACTGTACCCTACCCAGCCCTTCTGCCCATGAGGGTTGGAGTGATGTGCAATAGGGTATGTTGGGGGCATGTGTATAGTTCCCACCCTTGTGGGTAGAAGTGCCTGGTCTGGCCAGCATGCAGCTTCTTGGCAGGACTGCTGCTGCCAGGGAACCTGCTCTGCATCCCGCTTGCTCCAGGCAGCAGGTAGGGAAGCTGTGGGAGCAGGGGCAGAGTTGCAGCAGGGCAGGAGCACAGAGTGTGGGGCTGGCAGCAGTGCAGAGCCCACGGCCAGGGAGGCAGCAGCAACACGGCTCAGGTGGCCAGGGTGTGGGTGAGAGGGAGAGTAGAAGGGTGTAGGGACCCCCTGTACACACGCACGCTCCTTCCATGGTGCGCAGCTCTGGCAGGCAATGGTGGGGGCGCTCATGCCCAGTGCAGGTGCTGGTCCCTAATGGTGCATGGCTCCAGCCAGCACTTCACATTGTGGTGAGAGGTGCAGTCCCCACCAGGCTACCTCTATTGCCAGCACTTCCTGCCATGCACATGCAGCCCTCACGCTTGCACGGCACAGGAGGGTAGCCCCACATGCTGGAGCTGGCTGCCCCTGTAATGCAGTCTAGAGGTGGGGAAGGCAGCCTTCTCCAGCACGTGGGGCTTCCCTCCTGTGCTGCGTGAGTGTGGGGGTTGTATGTGTATGGCGGAGAGCGCCAACCATTAGAGACAGCCCAGCAGGGGCTGCAGCACTGGCCAGAGCCATGCGCCACCCAGGCATGAGTGCTCCTGCCTGCTGCTGCATCATGGGGCAATGGGAGGGGGTCCCCAAACCTTCCCACCCCACAAATGCCATACATCCACACCTGGCCCCCACAACCCCCCACATATGCACAACCCCCCAGCATACCCTATGCCTCCCATACACACAGCCACACCCCCACACCACACCATACATCCCCCCAACTACCCCCCCACAATATTTAAGACTAAGAATTTTTTTGAATTATTATGCAGTCATCTCTATATACAGTATGCAAACACACATCATCATAAAAATATTTTTTGTAATAAAATTAAAATGTGTTATAGTAGGTATGTGACTTAGTGTAGGATTTGTTGTTTTTTTTTTCTGGTTCTAAGATGGCAACCCTTCCCCACGCCCCCTCCAAAAGGGGCATTTCCAGGGGGCAAATGGAAAGACTT